AATTATTGACATTTTTAAAGATATAAGCTCATTCGGATATTACACTTTTCAAGAGCTTTCATTTGAGTACCCACATGCATTTTTTATATATTTTTCATATATACATATATATATAAATATATAAAATATATGAAAAATTGATGTGGGTACTCAAATAAAAGGTCTCGATGAGTGTAACGTCGGGGTGAGCTTATATCTTTAAAAATATGATACTGAAGTTAGCCGACTTTTTTAATTTTTTTTTAATTAATTAAATTAAAACAAAAAAATATTTTTTAAAAATTGTACTTACAGCTTTTCAAGTTTTTTACAAATAAATTTTTTTTTTTATTTTTTTTGTGATAATTTTTTCAATAAAAAAAAATTCTAAAAATTTTCAGATGTCGGCAAACTTAATTGTCATTTAAAAATGTCAATAGTTCACAAGATACAAAGTCATTTTCTTAATTATGTATCTAGAGATACATCAAGACCTTTGCAATGACACTAAATTTCACTACAAAAAACCGATTTTATCATATGACTATCCTGGAGACAAAATTTTTCTTATTTTCTTAATATTATAATTATAATTAAAAAAATTACTTGACAAGAAATAAATAAAGCCCGCGATCAAAATCTCTCCACAGTTCAGAATACAGAAAAATTCTTCCAATACATTTAGGAGGCGGCGGAGCATTTATATCATCAGCGCGAGCGAATTCTCCAGCAAGGCCGTATAAAACTACATATTTATTGCACATGTACTGGCCCATCCAGTAGCCGAACCCGAAGAATGCCCAGGAGTTAAACTTCTCGATTGCTTGCGGCTGGTACTTGAACGCAGTGACGTATAAAAAGTGAGCAGAGATCTCGGTGAAGAGGATCCAGAATGAAAATCTCAGTAAATTTAGAGCAGTAATTACCAGACGACCCAGCGTCCACTTGTTGTGCCTATTGATGCCTTTATGAAAGTCCTCGTACAGAATGAATGGACCCATGAAGAGTGTGGGGAAGTACAGGCAGTACGCAGTCGTTTCGATAAAATTTTTTAAAAATCCTTGGAGGCTATTGTGCCTGTAGATCTTCACATTGTCAATAGCGCAGCTAGTACTGCGTAATTGGACCCAGAAAGTTGAAATAGTTAGTAAATAATCCCAATTAGAGTCCAGTTGGAGCCAGTCCTTGCGGACCAGGCTCATCAGTGGTTTGTAGTGGTACAAAAATACCAGACCCAGTTCAGCGAAGTAAATTAAAGGGAGATTTTTTATTGATATTAGCAGACACACTATGCAAGGCTGGATCAGCATGAAAATCACTCCAGGGACTCCAATGTATGTCCAGAGAAATGCGAGGCTTATTGTAATATACCAGCAACACAATATCTGTTAATTTTTTAGAGTTTATTATTTATTAATTGAGAAATTTTTTTGATTTAAATTAAAAAAAGTTTGGAAAATCTAAAAGTGCACGCCTCATAATCTCATTTTTCACAATAAAATTGATCAAAATAAAATAATAAAAAACAGAAAATTCTGCTATGGTTTAGTTTAATTCAAAGGTGAGGAAAAAAAATACCATAATAAAATGTATATCATTTTTTCGACCAATTTCCCTGCCACATACTCCAATCCATAAACAAAGACACACGGACGTCCAGAAAAGATTATTTTTAATGTTATTATCAACTATGTTAAACAAAATAATTTTATGTGACTGACAAATTATTTGACTTGATATTAGTACACTCAGATTAATCTGTATATCTGCGATATAAATAAAAAAAAATCAATTTCAGTTTCGAGAAAAATACTTTTTATTAAAGGTCGAGAGTAGATCACTACCTCAACGCTTCGCTTATAAGGCGTGCAATTTATAATTAATTAAATGGTTCGAATTTTTTATATGGCGAAAATATTGGTTCTATAAAAAAATTTTTTAAATAAAAGTTGTTCAGAATTTAATTTTGTAAAAAAAATGTCTCTTATGTTTTTTTGTCAGGATCAATAATTTCGCTGAAATTTTAAAAGTAAGATTCATAATAGTGGAGTAAAATAAAATTAAAACCTTTTATTTATGAATTTTAATTTTGAAATTATACAACCAAAATATTGATCCTAAGAAAAGAACATAAGACATTTTTTTTATAAAATTAAATTCTGAACAACTTTTGTTTGATAAATTTTTTTATATATGACCAATATTTTCGTCGTAATTTAAAAAATTTCAACCATTAATTTTTAAATTAAGGCAAAAATTTGAGACCTAATTATTATTTTTTTTAAACACAAAAATTTTCATACAATAATTATAAAAAAATTACCGTCCTATTTAGTTGTAGATATTTGATGAAATTGCTGATCAACAAGTGCAATATTACCCATGGGATAAATATTCTAAGAAATGGAACCATCGCTGCCCATTCATGATCTGAAACATCTTTCTTCCGACCTATCCAACTCCAGCCCGTTGAAAAATCATCGTGAATATCATCAAAATAATCAAAAACTAAAAAAAAAATTTAAGTATTACCAATAATGATTAAGACCTAGTTTTTTGTACTTACATGATCCAGCTAAATAAAGTTGGTACGTAGAGTACAAAATTCCACAAACACAAGTTGCAAAATAAAATCCAACTTCTACTTTATGCAAGCTCGGATTATCTTCCATTTTCAAATAATTAAATTTAACATAAAACTGTTGGGAGTTTTAAAACAGAGACACTGTTCGACTGGTTCTTTGGTTAATTATTCAGGTGGCGATAACATTGTAATTATGAAGCCAACACATTTTTATACAAACAATATCAGGTGGGTAAAACTTACAACACTTTAATATTAATACATATATATAATAATAAATTTATTAATCTCAATATTGTAGTTGTGAAAAAAATACTATAATTTAACAACATTCATCTGCGTCCAGTCGTTATAAATGTATTAAAATAATAAATTGTTACAATTGATTTAAAAATATTCTATAAAAAAAAATAAGTCTGTATCTTAAAAAATAATTACTTATTTAATTAATATATTCCAGTGTCAAAAATTCCAGAAAATTATACGGTATATATTAATTAAATAAATATCTATTACATATATAGGGCATTATCCTCTAAATTATAATATAAATTTTCCAATTTTTTAAATACATTATTTCAATTGGTTATATTAATTATTTTAATTTACAATTAAAAAATTTCAAGTCGATAGATCTTGTCGAAAATACTCCACATACATTAAGTAAAAGGTTATAATTATAAATAATGCGATAGAGTTATAAGCCCATAAGAACGGTAGCAGAAGAAACTGGAGTCTGAGTGGGAGCGCTGGCTTGTCTGACGCTCATCTCCCAGGTGTCAAGAAGCTGCGAGACGGAGAAACATCGCGGTAACTTAGTAGTTCTGGCAGTGAGAGCTTTCTGGACGGCGCTGAGGAACGCGGTGGTGTACTCGTGAGGAGCCATCACGCAACGAGGAGGCGTCAGAGGGTAATCCGAGGGCACGGTCACTGAGACTGGAGGAACACAGGGAAGATGTCGGTCGTCGAGCCAGCAGATCAATTGGATGCACTTGGAGCCGTTCTGCTGAGCTGGATCCAGACTCACCTACAAAATCATTTATATTTAATCATTCTAAGTGATTATTTAAATATTTCAACGAGCTTTACCTTGAATCTTTGATCCAAGCGAGCGATCTCGCCTTGGAGGACGTCCGGAATCTCGCTAGCAGACTCTTCGACTTTTTGCTTCTTCAGCGGCGGTGGTAAGTTCCTGGATAAAATTATTTATCAACAATTAACAAGAGTTCTAACTTTAGGTTCAAAAAGTACTTTTCAAGGCGGCTTACTTTATTTCCGGGCCGAAAAGCGCTTCCAAGCAGGGCCCGAAGGTTCGCTGGAGCGTGTGATTCGCCATCGGGCTCTGGAGATTCGCACTCACAGCTTCCAGTAGCGGTGTAAAAATGTGGTGTTCTTTCATCGGTGGAACAGCTGGACCTACACTGCTAACAGCTTCACGCTTTAGGTCCATATTTTTCAGGACTGTTTCACACTTTAGTAGAGTTTCTAATGGAACTCTCCTTGAGGGGTTACATAAAATATCTAACAAAGTTGTCATCTTGTTACTGCTCGTTTTATCATTATCTAAACACAGTAAATAATGATTTATTATTACAACTCTTAAATTTCAATTATTCTAATAAATTATCACAGTAAATAAGATATACTTACTTCCATCACTTTCCGCTTTGGCAATCATTTTTCTCAACGGATCAATGTATCGACTGAGCTGTCGAACTTTTTCTCTGTACGCCTGTTCATCTTGTGGGGAACCAGCTCCAGCACCCAACGGAGTATTCAAAGACGCACTGGGTGATGGTACCATTCCTAAAATAAATTTATTGTAATTAAAAAAATAAATTTTTATATATTTATACATATTAGACATATGTATATTTTTTTAATTATAATTATAATATTTTACATAATTAAGAAATGACCTCATATCTTGTGAACTATTGACATTTTTAAAGATATAAGCTCATCCTGATGTTACACTCACCAAGACCTTTCATTTGAGTACCTACATCAATTTTTCATATATTTCATATATATTTATATATATTATATATATTTATATATGAAAAATATAACAAAAATGCATGTGGGTACTCAAATGAAAGCTCTTAATTAGTGTAACATGTGGATGAGCTTATATCTTTAAAAACATCAATAGTTAAGCAAGTAAAGTGCACTCACCAACAGAACGAGGACCAGCCATCATAGTGTGCTGAGGGCTGGAAGGCACAAGAGCCGGCGAAGGAATCATTTGGTTGCTCGTCGGAGCAGCAAGTCCGACGGGACTAGGTACCGACGGCGAAGGACTTTGCCTCAGAAACTGATTGGGCGTAACGTTCCTCGGTCCAGGAAACCCAGCGTTGATCATTTCGACGGGCTTTCTCTGCATATGCCCCATCTGCTGAGCCTGGTTCATCTGCTGGATCTGCTGCATCTGTTGCTGAGGATTAATCTGGCCAGTGACTTGCCCGCCGGCCATCTGATTAATATTCTGGGATCCACCTTGCATATTTCCAGCCACGGGAGCTCCTCCCATCTGATTCACCATCTGGGGTTGTCTTTGAGCTTGCAATTGTTGCTGGACATTTTGCTGCATTTGGTTGGCCTGCATTTGCTGTCCCATTTGCGCCTGGTTCATATTCATCTGCTGCATGTTTTCCTGACGCATGTGGTTCATCTGTTGCTGTTGCTGCTGCATATTAACCTGACCTTGATTTACTTGGCCCATTTGTTGACCTGGTCCAGGACCCATTTGGTTCATCTGCTGGTTGATATTCCCTGCTGACATTTGGTTCATCTGGTTCTGCATGTTCATTTGGTTCTGCATGTTCTGCATTTGTCCCATGTTTCCCATCGGGGAACCTTGACCTCCCATCATTCCCATTCCTGGCATCTTATTTTGCATGTTCTGCATGTTCATTCCCACCGCCGGACCGCCTGGACGCTGGTTGAAGCTCTGGAGAACTGAAAGAAAATTTTTTCTCAATTGGAACATAAAAAACGGCCACACCCGAAATGAAAGGTAGATTTCACAGAATTAATTATCATCTTATTTTTATAACTTTCGTCTGACATTGAATGAAATTTATTTTAATTCTTGATAAAATAACATACATAAGTCGGTAGTACTACACATTGCCTGAAAATGGTTCAATTGCACTCTTAACTTTGATAAAATAACTAAAAATGGTCAAAATGTCAATGTTATAAACGTCAAATTAAAAGTGACTCTATGAGCTTTCTTTTTTTATTTTAGAAAATTTGACAACTTTTTTTCAATCAAATAAAAAAATGTATAAAAAAAAAATCGGCCATGTCCGGGATGAGCGGGAATATTCAAATTGATTCAAGTTTTTATTGAGAAAAAAAAAAAAAAAGTGACGAACTTCGAAAAAATAACGATTTTGCTAAAAAAAAAAAAAAAAAAAATCGATTATTTTATAGAATTGATCATATTTAATTTTTTTTGTGTATTTTTTCGAAAAGTTCATTCAAAAACCAAAATCTAAAAAAAAAAGGTACCCAAAGGTGAATGTCTAAAAAAGTTATGGCTATTTGAAAATAAAAAAGTCATTTTTTTGAAAAATTCATAACTTTTTTTTGGGTTGGATAAAAAAATTTGAAAAAATCCTCAAAAATGTCTTTTAAAGGGTAGAAAAGAATAAAAAAGTTTCAGCTAAATCTAAATGGGTCGGGTTCAAATGTGGTTGATTTGGCATGGAATACCCCATACTAATAAATGGAGAGCCGGTTTTTTTGTCCGGTTATACTGCGAAAATTACTGAACCGATCGGTATAATACTGATACCATAAGATGCAGCGTGTTTCGGAGAAGGTTTTAGTATTTGATATGGTGGTGATTACTTATCCGGAAACTATAGTTTTTTGACTTAGAAGTAATGAATTTTTATTGTAACTAAATTTATTCTATTCGATTGTCATTTGTTTAAAATAAATTTTTTAATTCCATTGGTTATGCTTATATACTAGGCAGATTTCTTCACTTATGAAACTTGCAATTTCTTTAACTGAAACTTTCAATGCTCATTACAAATTTTTTTTTTTTATATCAATTATTATTCATTTTTATAAAAAAGACACGGGAATGTTATAATGATTGCACATTGAAAGTTACAATGAATATTGGTTAGAATAATTACATGTATAAAAGGTGCATGCCAATTCGATAGAATTGGGAATCTGTGCAAGTCAAAACAATACTCTAATTAAATTTCAAGTTTAGATCTAAAAATGCAATTTTATAAAGCGCCCAGCGTAGCGGGCGAGTAACAGCTAGTATGTACATATATAAACTTTTGAACCAATAAAATTGAGAAAAATATACTCACGATTACTGGCAGCATTTGCGGTTTGTTGTGGAACCATCCCTTGAAGATTTGGTCCTCCAGCCATACCCATCACTTGATTATTGTTACCTGTTGCTTGTCTTGTTAGAGTTTGCAATGCTCCCATTGGATCTTGACCACCAGCTGCTCCTCCTGCTCTGGCTACTGCACTTTTTTTATCTGGAATTTATTTTTTAACAATCAATAAAAATAAAAATTTACTATTTTTTTTTAAATTAACTTTTTTTTATAATAAAAATAAATGATACTTAAAATCAAAGACTTGTAATAATTTATAGAATTGAAAAAAAATTTTTACTATAGAATATTATACATTTATAATTAATATATAGAAATTAATTTTTAATATTAATTATTAAAATGAAATTTTTTATTATTTAAATAAAATAAAATAATTTTAAGATGTTTGACTTTAGTATCACCAAAAATGACAGCTCTAAAAATAAATTAATACTTACGATTTTCTGTTACAAATAAAATAACCTTCCCAACATAATTATGATACTCTTCCTGTAAATGGAGTAAAAATAAATAATTTATTGTTATCCAATTATTGTCAATAAAAACAATTACTCAGAGTTATATTTACTCTAGTCTTAGCTTTCTGGAAGACATAATTCTCCATCTCAGCGCTATTTCTTATAGGAGATACCCCCGAGCTTTGCAACGCCGCATCTCTAAAAAAATAAAGTCATACTTAAATTACCAAGCATCTGTCAGTTTTTTAGATTTTTATAATAACTAAGTTATTATAAAAAATTTTTAATTAAATAACTTAATGTCTAAAGATTAAAAAAAAATTACAAGTGTAAATTTTTTATTAATATTTTTTTTTTCATTTAATGAATTTGTAATAAAAATTAAAAAAATTTTCAGACGTCAGCTGATTGGAGTATCATCAAATAATAAAATAAAAAATGAATAAATAAATAAAAATAATTACTTACATTCTGGAAATAATATTCTGACGATATTGCTGGGTCCTCCAATTATTTTCATCAGTAGCCATGGTTATTTACTTGTAATTATTAAATAAATAAATATTGAAAAAAATATTAATTAATTCTTTACTAATATTTTATACACTCTTTACATTAGTAGATATTTGCATTAAATCATATTTAATTGCACAAAATTACGTCGAATTAGGTGACGTATCAAACGGAGCAAACTAATAAGTCAAGGTTCTGTGAGATAACCTCGAATTGTATATAATTGGGAGAGCTGAGAAAATCGAGAGAAAGTAAAAGTAAAAAAATAATTGGCGCGAATTAAATAAATTTCAAATCACTTTTTTTAACTTAATTACTCAGTTAGTTAGTTACAATTTAGGTTTATTAATAATATTAGCAGTAATTTTATAAATAATTTGAAATTTTATTATTATTTAATCATTTACATATAATTTACATAAAGGTTTTTTTAATAAATATTAAATAAATACTATAATTTTTGAAAATTTCATGTAGAAAAAAAAAAAAACAATAAATAAATTAAATAATTATTACTTTAATTTCTTAAATTGAGCAAATTTTGATATGAACACAACGTCAAGGAACAAAAGTTAATCTAAAATAAATACTAAATACTTGAAAATGAGATTCTAAATTTGACAATTGAGATAAATATACAATTAATTGACTAATTTGTAATTAAGGTGATGATAATAATAAAAATTATCATTAAAATAATTATAGACCAATAATTTCAGCGTTGGCAGCGACGGAAGTCTGAGTGGGAGCGCTGGCTTGTCTGACACTCATCTCCCAGGTGTCAAGAAGCTGCGAGACGGAGAACCGTCGCGGTAACTTAGTAATTCTGGCAGTGAGAGCTTTCTGGACGGCGCTGAGGAACGCGGTGGTGTACTCGTGAGGAGCCATCACGCAGCGAGGAGGCGTCAGAGGGTAATCCGAGGGCACGGTCACTGAGACTGGAGGAACACAGGGAAGATGTCGGTCGTCGAGCCAGCAGATCAATTGGATGCACTTGGAGCCGTTCTGCTGAGCTGGATCCAGACTCACCTACAAAATCATTTATATTTAATCATTCTAAGTGATTATTTAAATATTTCAACGAACTTTACCTTGAATCTTTGATCCAAGCGAGCGATCTCGCCTTGGAGGACGTCCGGAATCTCGCTAGCAGACTCTTCGACTTTTTGCTTCTTCAGCGGCGGTGGTAAGTTCCTGGATAAAATTATTTATCAACAATTAACAAGAGTTCTAACTTTAGGTTCAAAAAGTACTTTTCAAGGCGGCTTACTTTATTTCCGGGCCGAAAAGCGCTTCCAAGCAGGGCCCGAAGGTTCGCTGGAGCGTGTGATTCGCCATCGGGCTCTGGAGATTCGCACTCACAGCTTCCAGTAGCGGTGTAAAAATGTGGTGTTCTTTCATCGAAGTCACCACCGGTCCAACACTTCCTTCTCCCCGTTTGAGGTCCATTTTTTCCAGCACTACCTCGCATTTAATTATAGTTTCCAATGGAACTCTTTTTGTAGGGTTCGACAAAATTTCTAATAATTTTTTCATTTTACTCATCTTATCAATATCTGCAATAAAAATTATCATTGAATTTCTCATACAATGAATACTCAATTTAAATAAAAATCACTCACTGCCTTCGCTTCCCATTTTAGTGATCATCCTCCGCAAAGGATCAATATATTTACTGAGCTGTCTAATTTTTTCTCTGTACGCCTGATCTTCCTGAGGACTCGGAGTAGCTCCCATACCAGCCGGAGTGTTCAAAGAACTGCTTGGAGAAGGTGCCATACCTGTTAAAACAAATAAATATTAAAATTTTGCTTTATTAAATAATTACTTTAATTAAATTGCACTGTACTTTTTTAACTATTGACGTTTTTAAAGATTTTGATTTATTTTTCATATATACATATATATATATAATATATATAAATATATGAAAAATTGATGTGGGTACTCAAATGAAAGGTCTTGATGAGTGTTACATCGAGATGAGCTTATATCGTTAAAAATATCATCAGTGGACAAAATACAACATCATTGCTTTATTATTCACATTTTTAAAGATATAAACTCATCCCTATGTTACACTCGTTAAGAGCTTTTATTTGAGTACCCACATGCATTTTTATATATTTTTCACATATACATATATATATAATATACATAAATATATGAAAAATTGATGTGGGTATTCAAATGAAAGGTCTCGATGAGTGTAATATCGGGGTGAGCTTATATCTTTAAAAATGTCATTAGTTGACAAAATACAATAATACAGATAATAAATAATACCAATAGTTCTTTGTCCTGCCATCATAGGATGTTGGGGACTCGGCGAAGGAACAAGCGCTGGTGAAGCAACCATCTGATTACTCGTTGGAGCTCCTAGACTGGCAGGACTAGGAGCTGAGGGCGACGGACTCTGTCTCAGAAACTGATTCGGAGTAACGTTCCTTGGACCAGGGAACCCAGCGTTCATCATCTCGACAGGCTTTCTTTGCATATGTCCCATTTGTTGAACCATTTGTGCAGCACCCATTTGATTAATCGCTTGCGGTACTGATTGCATTCCCGTGTTCATCGGCCCGCCAATTTGGTTGGTCATCTGTCCTTGCATCTGTCCTTGCATTTGATTCTGATCAATAATAAAAATTATCAGATCAATTTCTTTTTACTTAAAATAAACTAGACAAAATAATAAAAATTACAGGAATATTTTGCTGCATTTGTCCAACAGTCATCGGTCCAAGTCCCATTTGATTGACCATTTGCCCGGGACCCATTTGATTTATCTGCTGACTAATCCCGCCAGACATCTGACCCATCTGATTGATCATCTGGGCATTTTGCATGCTCTGCATTTGTCCTATATGTCCCATCGAAGCTTGGCCTCCCATCATTCCCATTCCAGGCATTTTGTTCTGCATATTTTGCATGCTCATTCCCACTCCAGGATTAACTCCTCCTGGTCGTTGGTTCAAACTTTGGAGTACTGGAAATTCAGAGCGTTTATTATCAAGATTTTCGAGGATGTGAATTAAAATACTCACGATTGCTGGCAGCATTGGCAGCTTGCTGTGGAACCATCTGAGGATTCGGTCCTACGGCCATACCCATCACCTGGTTATTGTTCCCAGTTCCTTGTCTAGCTAGTGTTTGCAGTGCTCCGATTGGATCCGGCATACCTTGCGCTCCAGGTTGCACACCTGCTGCAGCTACTCCAGCATTTTTTCGCGTATCTAATTATTTATAAATTTAATAATGAAATATTTTAATTATTCGTTTATAATGATGATAGTGAAGTCAGCTGACAACTTTGAATTTTTTTATTTTTATAACAAATCAATTACAAAACAAAAATTTCGCTGATACACGGAGAAAATTTTATAGTAGAGTTTATTATCTAGTTATGTTAAAATCTATTAACTGAATTCGATACTAGTAAATATTATTTAAATAATTAAGTAAACCATCTGAATTGTAGTATTTACCATCCTGATGGTAACTACTACTATTATTATGGTAATCAGTAATAATAACTGTTATTATTTTAATTAGTTACCACTATTATCAAAATCGTAATTCCTAATATAACCTGATAGTTGTAGTTATCATCAGTAATAATAATAACTACTATCTAAGCTAGTAAAAAATATTAAAAAAATTAAGAATCTGCGTTACCGTGGATGCATTTCTGAATAAACTAAAAGCAGCTGTAGTGCACAAAACATCGGGATTAAATTCGGATTGAAATTATATATTTAAATTTTTATTTGTCTAAAACAAGTTTCAACGTTAAATTTTTAAAAAAAAATTTGAAATTTCCAAAAAAATCAAAATGTTCAATAAAATTCAAATTTAAAATAAAAAAAAAATCAAATTTTCAAAAAAAAATTTTGAAGAGAATTTAAAATATTTTAATATTTCCAAGAAAAAAATGCACATTAGCTAAAATATGGATCTAAATAAAGGCTTTAATTAATTAAATTTATATTATTCTTTCTTTCAGAATTTTTACAATCTGAGATGGTTACAGTTACCATCTTCGATTGTAACAGTTATAATTTATAATAATTACAACTATTATTTTTACATTAGCTAAAATATGGATCTAAATAAAGGCTTTAATTAATTAAATTTATATTATTCTTTCTTTCAGAATTTTTACAATCTGAGATGGTTACAGTTACCATCTTCGATTGTAACAGTTATAATTTATAATAATTACAACTATTATTTTTGATAGTAATCGTTACCATTATTAATAGTAACTATTACAATTGTCAATGATACCACCTATTACTTTGTTACTAATTAATTTTATTACCATTTTAGATAGTAGGAGTTACTATTTTTGTATAGTAGGTAGTATAATTCATTTTTCTCCGTGTAATTTATTTTAATTTTTATATGTAGAATTTTTGTAATAATAATTTCATTGTTATAAAATTATACAACAAATTTCTAATGTCATTTAACTTCAGTGTCAATTATTATGACATTTAATTTAAAATTCTTACCCATTTCTCTGACATGTAATATCAACCTGGCAATAAACGCCAAGTACTCTTCCTAATAAAATAATAAAATAATTTATTTATTTATTCATTTTTATTTTTATTTTTATTGATAAAAAAATACTTGTTGATAAATTGACTAACCTTTGTTTTTGCTTTTTGGAAAACATGATTCTCCATTTCAATGCTATTTTTTGCAGGAGACATTCCACTTTTCTGAATAGCCTCTTCACTTTAATAAATAAATAAATAATTAATTCATTAAATTGCTTCTGTATTACAAATAAACAAATAAAAACTTACATTTTGGCAACAACACTTTGACGGAAAGTCTGAGTTCGCCACGAAGTTTCCTCTGTTGTCATTTTTTATTTCTTTTTATTACCTTGAATTAATTATTATTTATATATTGTTGTTCAATAATTATCGAAGATTATTTATTAATTAGTATTTATTTTTATTTACACGTATGTCGATAAATCAGACAATACAATTCACTACTAAACACTCTGATCACAACTTGACAACATATAAAATTATAAATACTCACACCTACATACACTGTACTCATACATTCACATCTATATTTTATGTACTTCAATATATATAAATTTACATTACATTCAACGGAAAATGCAACAACTTCATAACCTTGGTGATATACTTTCATTTACATATTTATAAAAAATAGTTATTGTAAAATAAAAATTTTATGTAAAAAAATTTACAAATTAAAAATTTTTTCTAACAAATAAATTCTAAAAATTTATTTTTTCAAAAATAAATTTAGTTTTTCTTTACAATTAATTTATTAAATAAATTTAAAAATAATTATATAAAATTTTTTTTTATTAAATTTAGTAATAAAAAAAATACTCATATTATAATTTTAATTATTTTATATTTAAAATTAAAAAAAAAAAAAAAAATTGAAATCCTTTATTGCAATTATAAACAAGTACTAGCTCAAGAATACCTAGTAAAGATGGTATAATAATAATAATAATTTTTTAAAAATTTATAAACGCATAATGATAAATGAAAAAATTGCATAAGGCTGATGGACCATTACAAAATACAATAAAATGTATAAATCGAAGTATTTATAAATATCGAATAATAATAATAAATAATTATAAATATTCCCTGAGCACTTTTGGTCATAGTTCAGCCTTTTATTCAGTAATCTACTTATAAATATACTTAAAATTTATCTATTATAATTCTAATCTCTAAATTTACAGTAATAAAGAAAGATCTTTTCCTCGACGAATTTCTGTCGTATTTTTAACAAAATCGCTCTCGATAGAAACGGAGGAGTGCTTTAATAACTTTTTGTTCCTCAAGATTAGCATCTTTTTACGGAGGGTCGTTAACCCTAGGACAATCGGCCGGGGTTTTTTAATATCCTTGCCGAAGCGTCTGATGGAGTCGACTTCGTTTGGCAGCAAACTAACTTTAACTTCCTTGTTAATAATATTCAAAACGGTTTTTTCTAATTGCAAATAATTACTCTCATTTTCGGGAACTCCGTAGACGACCAGGTAGCGTAGCTTGAGTTCCTTCTCAATACGCTCCAGGCGCTTGGTCTGACGTTTCAGATCCCTACGGACTGTGTCCAGGCTGTTTTTATACTGATCGAATTTAACGTTGACATTCCCGTTGACATTGTTTATGATTATCTGCCCAAGGTCATCGGTGTACAGCTTCATGGTGTTCTCTATAGAATCGAGCTTCTGGTTCATGAAATCCATTATTCCGTGCTCGTGCTCCATCGGGTTCATGGGATTTTCTTGGTAACCTGGAGAACCCTCTACTCCGGGATCGATCAATTCTATCTCTTCTATTTCGATCTGAGTGCTGGGGTCTTCTGGAATATTTTCTTGGTCAGTTCTTCTCATATTTTGGCTTTGCTCTTGCTCAGATGGAGAAGATTCTCGGGATCGGGACCCGTTGGCAGGCGTTTGAGGTCCTTCTGGTGTAAAAAGTTGGAAGTTGTCATCGTCTGAGGAGTTATAAGACACTCTTGATATTGGAGCATTTATTTCATTTGTTTCTGCGATTTCTGTATACTGATCTTCGTTGCTTGGAGATGCTAGATAAAATTTATTTTATTAATTATATTTTATTTTTTATTTATGACACTGAAATTAAGATACACTTGATAATTTTTAGAAATTTTTTAATCTTAATAAATCTTGGAAAGAAAAATTTATTTTTCAAATTTTTAGAAATTGTAAAAAATAATAAATGCAATTTTATATAATTAAAAGAAAACTAGCAACCTTGCAGTCACTATGTGACTGCCGTGACTTGTGAATAATAAATTAATAAAATTTTGCTTTATTGAATAATGACTTGTGTTAAATTGCACTGTACTTTTTTAACTATTGACGTTTTTAAAGATATAAGCTCATCCCGATGTTACACTCATCAAGATCTTTCATTTGAGTACCCACATGCATTTTTATATATTTTTCATATATACATATATCTATACTAATAAATGGAGAGCCGGTTTTTTTGTCCGGTTATACTGTGAAAACTACCGAACCGATCGGAATAATACTTATACCATCAGATGCAGCGTATTTCGGAGAAGGTTTTAGTATTTGATATGGTGGTGATTACTTATCCGGAAACTATAGTTTTTTGACTTAGAAATACTGAATTTTTATTGTAACTAAATTAATTCTATTCAATTGTCATTTGTTTAAAATAAATTTTTTAATTCTATTGGTTATGTTTATATACTAGGCAGATTTATTCACTTATGAAACTTGCAATTTCTTTAACTGAAACTTTCAATGCTCATTACAAATTTTTTATTTCATATCAATTATTATAAATTTTTGTAAGAAAGACACGGAAATGTTATAATGATTGCACATTGAAAGTTACAATGAATATTGGCTAGAATAATTACATGGATAAAAGGTGCATGCCAATTCGATAGAATTGGGAATCCGTGCAAGTCAAAACAATACTCTAATTAAATTTCAAGTCTAGATCTAAAAATGCAATTCTATAAAGCGCCTCGCGGAGCGGGCGAGTAACAGCTAGTATAATATATATATATAAATATATGAAAAATTGATCGGCTACCCAATTTCAAAACACAGTAACTAACATTTAAAAATTTTTTTCAATTTTTCTTATTAAAGAAAAATTTGCCCGCCAAATTAATGACAAATTCGATTTATGAATAGAAAATACTCAAATATAAATATTTTTAAGAAAAAATACGTGAAATTGAGGTTTAAAATTTATAAAAAATGCAGCAATACTAAAAAAAAAATCAGGTATAAAAATTTTGCAGTTACTGTGTTTTAAAATTGGACAGCCGTAATGTGGGTACTCAAATGAAAGGTCTTGATGAGTGTAATATCGGGATGAGCTTATATCTTTAAAAATGTCAATAGTTGACAAGATACAACGTCATTTCTTAATTATATATCTAGAGATAGAGAATTTTCGAATGCAGCCTAAATACTTATTATAATAAATTAAATGTCGGTGAAATTGATATGAAAGCTTGAAAAGGCACAAATTCAAGTCAAGACCTATGCAATGACTAAATTTCATTAAAAAAATCGATTTTATCATATGACTCCTGGACACAAAATTTTTCTTATTCTCCTAATAATATAGATTATCAAGTGTCTGTCAATTTTAATGTAATTTTTATTGATCGAATATTTAAAAAAATTTTTATTGTGAAAATATTATATTAATAAAAAAAATTAACTTACTATTATTTTGGTGATTTACAGTAACTTCAGTACTAAAATCTTGATGACTGGAAGACGCAATAGCTTTTACATTTTCAATAAATGTATCACCCTGAGTGTCATCAAAAAAATCAATGACAATTATTAAATTTTTGATAAATTCTCTTGTTGCAGAAACAGATAACGATCCACAAGGCTCAGTAATGTCATTAAAATCTAAACAAATAAAAATCTCATTAACCAGCTGTCAGATTGTAACCAAAAAAAAAGTACTCACTTTTACTATTTATACACATGATCAGCAAGTCGATAAATTTCGTATACTCATCCTATAAATAAATTATCATTAAATAAATGAAATAATTATTAACTTTTAAATTATAATAAAATTACTTTAGATGCCGACTGGTTGAAAATTAAGTTTTCCGTTTCTTGAGTGGAGTTGGCTAGTGTAGCTCCATAGCTCTTGTGTTGAGCTTCATCTCTGTGAAAGTAAACAATCATTTATGATTTTACTATCAGTAAATAATAAATTAATAAATAATTGAATAGTAGACAGAAGTACTTACATTTTTATCATCATTCCTTCTCTAAATAAAGGGGTTATCCAGTACCCATCATCATTATTTGCCATTTTAAATAAATTCTTTATTTTATTTTTAGGTAAAAAAATTTTCAGACTGTTTTTATATTTATTAATTATTGTTTATTATTGAATTATGAATTATAATTGAGCCTAACGCTTCGGACTTAGATGAAGAACATAACCAAGAAAATTCAATCAAAAAAATTTACATTACATGCGTAAAGCATGGCGCCAGCTGCCGAAAGTTTGAATTCACCAACTTCTCAGTACAAATAAAGTAATCTTTCAAATTTCAAATAGATATAAGTATCTTTAGAAATTGTAAATTTTTATTTTATGTAAATAATAATAATTAATAATAATCATGTACATGAAATTAAAACCGGCATGTGTGGATTTATAAAACAATAGCTAATTAAAGTTGCACTTATGGAAGGTCGCACTACTAACCAGTTAAATCTGACATGCGCAATTGACAGATCACCAATAACAATAAAAACATAACCTTATAATTTTATCTATCCAAGATTTGTTTTGTTTCTGGAAATAATAGACCATATATTTTATAAATAAATTATATTAAATATTATACAGAGTGTTATTTAATTATCAAGATGGATTATCACAAAATATTAAATATATTAGTCACCAAAACAGGTAATGTCATATTTATATATTAAATTACAATAAAAAAAAAATACTTTGCATTTTTTACAAGCTTTTGTCAACAAACAAATTTATTACAACAAACTGTATTTAAAAAATAGCATTTTTAATTTTTTAAAATTTCTACATGTCAATTTTTTTTTTTGATGAAAATTAATTTAGCAGATATTTTATAATTTTAAGAATTTTTTTAACAAATTAAATTATGGCAAAAAAAAGTAGAAAAAAATTGACATGTAGAAATTAAAAAAAATAAAAAATGCAATTTTTTGCAAAAAATCTATTTACTATAAAAAATTAAAAAATGATTAAGTAACTGCTAACTTTAAGGGGTTATATACAGTTAGGCCGAAAAAAAAGCAAATTTTCCAGAATTTTTTCTGAGAAAACTTTTAAATTTATTGATCTAAAAATTTGTGCACATATTATGGTATCTTTTAACTGTATTTTAAGATTTAGTATTAGTAAAAATATTTATTTTGAAAGGAGCTACAGCTGATCTCCGGGAGCTCCTCTCAAAAAAGACGTTTTGCGGTGACTATATAGTATCTCTGAACTGAATCCTCTGAAATTAAAAAACCGAACAGATTTCGTTAAAGTAATGTTAAATCTAGTAATTAAACGAAGGAATAAGTAAAATAAATTTTTTTGACAAAATGGCGGTTTCTCAAAAAAAAAAAAAATCGATTTTTGACCACAATTCCGGCCTTAAATTGTTTATAAAAAAAAAAATATTTATCGGTGAGAAAAAATCTTCGATTAATTACTGAAAAATATATTTAAGAAGCTCGTGTTAAAATTTGAGACTAATCGGTTTAGCCGTTTTCGAGTAATGTTGGTCATCGATTTTGTAAACACCATTTTGAGAAAAACGCGTTTAAAGTTTGAAAAGCACTTTACATAGGAAACGATATGAAATTTTCTGTGTATTCTTAAATATATGTACATTAAGAAAATAAAATAAAAACAAATGGATTTTTTGAGAATTCTAACTGTATAGGTATAACCCCTTAATGTCATTTTTTTGGCATAATTTATTTGTAACAAAAATGATTGAAAATTTGCTAAATTAATTTTCATATTTTTTTATTAACAATAATTAAACAAATTTATTAATAATTATTCTAATTTTTCAGACGAATTAAAAGACATTGACGAAAAACTAACTCACATCCTGACAAAGGTCTCAGAGCTTCTGCCAGAAAACATAAAGCTCGACCTAGCCGTTGAAAAGCAAAAATCCTTGGACCATTCCCCACGTCGTGAGTATTTGTCAACAATTTTGTGCATTCTCCGAACCCTGAACACCGAAGTTCTGTCAAAAAGCAAGACCTACATGAGCGTACGCGAGTACCGAGGCGTCAAGGCAGCGATCGAGATGTCAATATCCTTAGGAATCCTCCCTTGTCTTCTCCCAGGCATCGGAGTCGGCCTCACTAAATTATCCCGCAACGCTCCAAAACTCCCTCCAGAATCTTTGACATCTTGTCAGAAATACGAACGTCTGGACCTGACGACCCGAACTTTAACTTGCTGCTACGAAGAAATATCCCTACGCCCAGCAATCCTCGCTCACCTGGGCCCGGTGGTCGGCGCGCTGTGCCAGCTGGCGTTCGCACCGCTGGTGAAGCCTTCGGAGGACAACTCATCGCTGATGACTAAAGAGCAATACTCAAAATTCTCCGCAGACCAGGGAGAGTTTAAAGTACTTCTGAAGAACCTCATCGACAACTGCCCGACTTCCCTCATGATGAAGGAGCTCATGGTGCTCTCAGGCCTGGAGAAAGCCCCCAACTGGCTGAAAAAGACCACCAGGCTCTTCTTGATAGACTTGATCCAGCTTCCGAATGGGGTTATGTCCCTTATCAACGCCACTTGCGAAAACTTTGACCTGGGACTTCATTGGCAGAAACTGGACACCATTTCTAGGTTGGTAGTAAATTCTTCAACTGACCCCAAGTACTTTGACTCGATCTGCAAGCAATTTCTGAGAATTCTAGCTTCTAAAAATATAAAACACGCAGCTGTAATCGCCAATGCGTTAATTTCAACGCTGCACGAAGTTCATCCTGAGATTTGCGCCGAGAAGATAATAAAAGTACTCATCTCAACTTTGTCTGTAACGAAAGAAGATCTGAAAGATAAAACTGACCTTGAGGTTGTTAAAACAGAGAGTCAAGTTGAAGAGTGTATTGAAAATTTGGTTAAATGCTTCGTGCCTCAATCTAAATGCAAGTATTTACCCGTTGAACTAATCAAAAGTATCTCACTGCCTCTTTTTTACTTACATGTTGAAATTCACACGAGTCCATTGCTTCTTAAATCCAAAGTTCGCCAATTATTAGTCCAGCTGCTAAAAGACGAGACTTTGACAGAAGATTTATTTAAATTGTTTCTTCACAGTGGAGAACCGTCGCTGTTTTATAGACTAGGGTCCAATGGAGGTGTTGAAATTGTCAGTAAAAAAAATAAGGAACTAAAATTAGAGGAAAAAGCTGAAAAAATTGGAGATAGTCTGCTAGATTTGGTGAGACCAGATGAAGAGTTGTCAACAATCCTGCTTAATTATCTGCTAAACTGGCTGACCAACCAGACCAATCAGGCTTCTAAGAGGAACGATTATTTGAGAAACGAGGAAGACCTGATAGATGACATCTGCAAGCAGCTGATCGCCGAGAAGCTGCTGATAAGCCTCGCGAGTGTCCAGGGGGTACAACGCGGCTTGGTGAAGGCACCTTTGCCGTTGTTGAATTTTGTTAAAGCCCTGTTCACAGATTCTAGCAACTATGAGTTAATTTATGCGAGCTTAATGTTGGTTAAAGTTATTTTAGACGAAAGACCGGAAGACTGGAGCCCGTTTGAGGAACTGGTGAGCTTCCTCCAGAAGAAAAAGGATCAATTTTCGGGATCGGGGCTCGAGGAATTGATTGGAGAGCTTTCCAAGCTCGTGAGATTGAGAGGAAAGGCGCCGAGGTTCCAGGACTTGAATGTTAATAAAAAAGAGAATTTTGATAAAGCGCTTCAGGATCTCGCAGATCCGTTGTTGCCGGTCCGGGCGCACGGGTTGATGACCCTGACCAAGTTGATTGAGACTTCCGATCCTCAAGCGATGGACAGGAAGGACTTGGTGCTCTGTTTGTTCAGGAAGAATCTTGAAGACGAAGATTCGTTTGTCTACTTGACCGCTATTAATGGATTGTGTGCGATGGCCATGAAATTTCCGAGAGACGTGGTTGAAATTTTGGTCCAGGAGTTCGTAGACATGGCAGGTCGTGATATCGCGGCGGAAAATCGAGCGAAGTTGGGAGAAATATTGGTCAAGACTACGAAAGGGCTCGGAGACATGGCGCCGGCGTATAAAAATATCCTGATCAATGGGTTCCTCTGCGGGGTCAGGGACAAAGATAGCATGGTTCGCGCGTCCAGCCTTTCGTGTCTCGGGGAACTTTGCAGAGTGCTTGGATTCAAGCTGGGACACGCAGTCACGGAAGTGCTCTATTGCGTGGGGAAGATCATTGAAACAGACAGGGAGCAAGAGTGCAGGAGAGCTGGGGTCTTGGTTATCAATTTACTGATTCGCGGACTTGGCAAGGATGTACTCACGGACCTCGGCTCCGATTTACTCCCGGTTTACAGAGCGCTTAAGTTTCTGAGGGATAATGATAATGATCAAGTGCTTCGGCTTCATGCCCAATTAGCGCTTGAGGAACTTGATGATATTGTTAGGGAGTTTTTGTACGCTAAACCTTTGCTGCAAAAAAATATTTATTTGATTTCTTAGATTTAGAAATTTTTATGGTACTGCAAGTATGTTTATTAATAAATTCATAATTTTCTAAACTTTTCTATTTTATTAATAAATTTTAATGATTGTTAAATTTTTTTTTTTTTAATTATTGATTGTTAATTTATTTTATTGGATTAAAAAAAATTCCTCTGTTTTTTAAAATAAAAGGCCATTCAGCATCCGCCAAAATGCAAGGTAGATTTCATATAATCCATGATTTTAATAACAATATTTAGATGACATTTAGCTTCTTAAATTTTTATTTTAATTGTAGAAAAGTAAATTAATTATAGGTTAAATTAAAGAGAATTTTATAAGCTTTGAAATAAAATGTAGAAAAACGATCTATCATTTTTCAATGAAAAGTTATTCCCTAGTAAACTCACCAAACCACTTGATTTTTTACATTTTCGAAAATTTCAAATGGCTGCCATTTCTGAACTATTTGATGGATTTAGCTCATTTTTGAACTCATTCAAGCTGATTGTCTGTAAGAGTCTACCAAGTTTCATGACGATTCATTAAGAATTATGGGAGTTATCGTGTCCACAAGCCGCGCGTTATATATTTATATATAAACTTCCGAAACCAATGACATTTTTAAGCCTTACTCGACTAAATAATTAATATAGGGACGAAATTTTATGTGAATTTTGACACAAGAGCCAATACATTAGATAGATTTTATGAAATCTACCTAAAATATGATACTGAAGTTAGCAGACATTTGACAATTTTTTTTTTCTTTTTTTTTTTTTTTTAATAAAACAAGTTCTAGAAAATTATTTAAAAAAATTGCATTTATAATTTTTTTGAGCTTCTAAAAATAGAATTAAAAAAAATTTTTTTTTGTAATAATTTATTTATTATTAATATTTGAAAAATGATAAAATATCTCTAAATTTCAGTATCATAAAATTAACTGGTTAATTAAAAAAAAAATTATGTTTAAAAATATAGATTTTTTTTTATCAGAGGACAAAAGTGAAATAAAAATTTTGAAAATTGATAATTACCGTGCAATAATGAACCAGTGCATTAATAAAAATTAGTCCTGATAAAAATACCCGAGGAACCTGCCTCCGAATTTTTGAATTTCTGAACACATCAATGAACTTCAGTCCTCACACTTTCGAAAAGATAATTAGATTTCTCAATAAATCACCGAAGAGTGTGAAGATTGAAAGTCATTTGGACATCGTGATATCCAACACTTATGCCCATCAATAATGACTAATAACTATTTATAAAAAGGTTGTATCTTCAGAGAAAAATCCCGCGAGTCTGATGGATTCTCTCTTGAGATTGACATACAGCCGCTGAGGTTGCGGTGCTGAGGTCGGAGAAGGCCGGGGTGTCACTCCTCGAAGGATAAATTCCTTGGACGAGGGCTCGGGAAACGTCTTCTGTTTCTCATCTCCAGCTCCAGACCTACCGGAACCGCTGCTTGGAATCTCCACCATATAAGTAGCCTACAATTATAAACATCAATTAATCATCGGCATTTATGATTGTTGTTTTCATTGTCGTTTTATATAAATGTCAAGATCGAGACAACATCATTATTATAATTATAAATATAAATGTAATTTATAGTTACTTTTTGGCTATTACGAAACATTTCTGTTATTCTCAATCCTAGAAGACCTCGTGCGCCACCAGGAATTGAAACTTCTTTTCCTTCCATTAGATTTATAATGAAAGCTGTTGTTTCTTTATTTTCTCCCGGAAATTTATTGTTCAGTGAATTGTACTGCGTCAAAAGGGCCTTTATTGTTGATATTTCATTGATGATGTCCTGAAAAAAAATTTTTAATTGATAAAAAATAAATTTAATTCAATAAAAAAAAAATTTGGATTCAAAAAATCAATTTTAGCATTGAAAAAAAAAAAATTAATTTTATTTAAGAGAAAAATTTTTAAATCAAGAAAATCGTTTTGATTAAAATGATAAATTTTTAAATCAGGTAAAATTTACTTAAGGGGTTTTCATTTTTAATCGATTTTTTTTTATTCACCTATTAAATTCTACAACATCTCTAGAATATTGTCCTAAAGTTTCAAATCGATCCGTATAATAGTTTCGGAAATAGAGTTTTAAAAAGTTGCGCGCTCGAGGCACTGTTGTATTGTCACTCCAAACTTGAAACGCGTTTTTCTCAAAATTATGTTTTCAAAGACGGTACTCACGATTTCTCGAGAACTACAAAACCGATCTTTATGAAATTTTAAACAGGTCTTCAAGATATAATTTACAAGGTCTTGAACGAAAGATTTTTTTTTTTTTAATTACAACTATTTAAAAAAAAATGCCGCTAAGTTTTTCATTTTTTTGTAAAAACCTCTGTCAAAAATCCAATTTTAATTTTTTTTTTTTCCTTCATTCAAGTCCTAGCTTAAAGTCTTATCTAAAGGACATATTTTTTTTTTTTTCACTTCAGATGATCCTGCTAGGAGTTCTGCTGTCAACGCGGACGTATCTTTTTTCCGAGGGATCGCCGGAAATGACGTCACAATGGCAGAGTTTTTAATATTTTTTTTTTAAATCCCAGTAATCCCTTATCAAACATGTAGCTTTAAAACAGTAAAAGGTTGAGTAAAATATTTCATTTTTTATATTAAAAAAAAATTGTTGAAAATAGGCCATTTTTTCCTGGAGGAAACCCCTTAAATAAAAAAAAAAATTTATCAGTTCAAGAATTTTTCTATTTAAACCAAGTTAATTATTTTTTAATGAAGAGTAAAATTATTTTGAATTAATAAAAAAATTATTCAATTCTCAAAAATTTGTTCCTGATTTAATAAAATCTCACTTGATTAAAAAATTTTTTAGCTTAATAAAAATAAATAATAATTTTTTCTCTAGAATCAAGTCAATTTTTTTCATCAAAGTAGCGTTTGAAGAAAAAAATTTCCGATATTTTATATACTAACATCATAAATATGAGTCTGTAGATGAAAAGACTTGGTGGCGCGTTGTAACTTTGTAGTAATTCCGTTAATTATGTCCGGTAATTTAGCAATTGCCTGTTGCTTATGTTGAGCAAGTGTTTGTAGAGCCGCATGAGCTAGCACAGGCATCAGGAGTTGGCAAATTTCCCCAATGCGCCTGCACGCCAAAAACTGAATAGTCTTCTCAGCTTCCTTGGTGTCATCAAAAAGACGCTTTTGGCGATGAGCCGGTACAGGTTGTGCCGAGTTCCAGGTGGTCGCCCACGGGTTATTCGGAATTTTCATTCGCGGCGATAAATGTCCTGAAAATAACAAAATAGCGGTATTAAAATCGTCTGGAACTGAAAAGTGTTTAGAAATTAAGTTACCATTAATCTGTCCCCATTGATCGGTACCTTCCTCCTCGATCCAGTCTCTCGGCGAGTACCAGCGTATGAAATCTTCGAGTTCCGATCCGGGATTAGCTGCCTGTTATTTTTTATCAATTACTATTTTTATATCGTAGAATAGATAGAAAGTATTTCCGTTTACTGGCGGATACTTTTACACTTTCTCGATAGTTTAATGTCTGACATTATAAAATTGTCATTCAAGTAAATCAGTGTAATTACGGTAAATAATTCCGGGAATTAATTTAATAGAGAGTGAACTCGCCTTGAAGGACTCCATGTCCGACAAAAGTGAAGCGCTCATCAGCCTTGCTCGCATTTCAGAGCCTTGTTTGTCAGTTCCTAACTGCATCATCAGCTGCGCGTCCTCCTCCAGCTGGTCCTCGGTCTTGGGGACCGGGTCCTGGGTCACTGGCAAGTACAAGGCATCCCCGGTTTTCAGCAACTTCAAAGACGGGTGCTTCGACAGGCGACCTGTTGGTTTGTTCCACAGCAAGTGCTTAGTTTTTCGGTGAACTTGGACTTCTTGGACCGACGCTTCCTCCTCGCACTCGAAAAATTCTTCCTCTGATTCTTCTTCTGCTGAAAATTAATTTATGTTATTAGTGTAATAACAGGGTTGATAATTTTTTTTGTTTTTTTATTTTAATAAATAATCACCGGAGTCAAAATGGTCGTCAATATTTAGCGGCTTTGAGGCGAACTCGTTGCGGCGCTTTTTTCGCTCGATGCAGCAGTTAATCATCTGCAATTTCTGGTGTAGCAAACACGTTCGTACAGAGTCCGGAAACCCAGTTCCCACGCTTAAAAAAAATATAATACAAATATAAATATTTCGTAAAGATATAAACAAAGTGTTATTTGCTAAATTAGAGTAAATTATTTATTTAATGCCAGAGAAATCATTCTTTAAGATCTGAATTTTAGATTCGGCGCGATACTTTATGAGTGTACTTTAATTACTGGGAAATTAACTCTATTGTTTTTATTGCACACATATATGAATGCACTGATTTATTATATTTGTGAGTTATTTTATTTTTTTTATTGCAAGCTTCAAAATTTTGCAATTTGAGAAAAAATTTTTAGGCTTTAAAAAATTTTTTTAAGAAAAAATTGAATTTTTAAAAATTATTCCAAGTTTTAATTTTTAAAATTTTAAAATTAAAAATAATTATTCAAAGTCCTGATTTTTTTTATTTTATTAAAATTTTTCATGCCCCAAAACAACTTTCCAGCTGAGTAACTTCTAAAAATAAAATCTTGAATAAAAACAAAATTCTTAGACCATGAGGTTAAAAAAAAAAAACACGTAATTCGTACGTTGATCCGATAACACTAAAACGGACTTCAAGGTGTCTTAAAACATCCTGGTGAGTTGTCAAAGCGGTTAAGTGGGGGCGTAAACCCACCGGCGCGTATCAAGTCCTCTTAAAAAAGCATTGATTGTCTGTCTAAAAAAAAAATAAAAACTGAGAAAAAATAAAAAACAGGATTCCGTCAATACAAACAATTCAATATATTACACTAATTGACGTCTCCATACTCTTGATCTTGAGAATAAGTACAAGTATTATATGTGTATAGATGAACCGAGCCTTAGAACCGGCCTAAACTCATCCATACTCAGAAATAACAGCCGGTTCGTCGAGATCGGGTCTACTAATATAAATAAAACTAAAGCAGTTCAGAGTCAGTCCTATTATATTTATCTTCTCGGCAGTACAACTGAATTAAATTAATAAGACTTTACTTGTATTGATAGCGACTCATAATCCAATATACAAGTATATATACGTACATACTAAGTTTGTAATACGACAATATTAACAAAAATATTTTACTGATTTTATTTAATTTTTAAATTTAATTAACAGTAATTGTTTAAAAAAAATTTATAAAATATTATTATTGTTATTTAGTAATATATGTAAAATCACTTTTTATTGTTTGTAAAAAAATTAAAACATATAAATATTAAAAAAAGAAAATAATTTTGTTTTTTGGCTTTTTTGCGGTTTGATATTTTTAACTTACTGTTATTATTATTATTATTATTATCGAAAATTTAATAATAATATTGACAAAATTTTTTATTTTTTAATGAAAAAACATTGATAAGTTTTAAAAAAGAATTAAAAAATTATATTAAACTATCTATAGATATGTAATCTATTTATTGTTGATATTTACACTAATAAAAAAATTGACTTGACTCAAGAACCAAAATCTTGAACCAAGAATACCATTTTGAAGAAATTATTCTTGATTTAAGTAAATTTTTCTTGTCTCAAGAATTTATTCTCTTGACTTATTAAGAAAATCATTTTCTACAAAATGTTATTCTTGGTTCAAGATTTTGGATCTTGAGTCAAGTTAATTTTTTTATCAGTGTAAGTATATAAATGTATAATTGATTGTAATATTTCTTTATAATTTTTTAATAATTATTATTATTATTATTATTGGCTGTCTAGCCTAGACCACTTGCAAATTGCACTAATATTTATAATAATTTTTTTTTTTATAATAATTTTATTAATTAATTAAATTAATCCTAATTAAAAATTAAAAATTTTTAATTATTAGATATAATCACCCGAAGATGGTAATGAGTGCTCATACCGAAAAGTGGTGAAAATAAATTTAATAAATAAAAATTTAATATTAAAAATTAGTCTAACATCTCCAAAGAAATAATATACTCTTTAATTAATGAAAATACACCGATCTTCAGAAACAATAATAAAAATAATAATAATAATAATAATAATAATATACCGGTAATATTGGGTACCCTACTAGCTTACAACAAAGTGGAGTGTAAGATAGGCATAGCAGTACTGTAAGAGTCAGTATAGGTCTTGTTGTTCCTCTAGACTACACTCAGTACGGGTCTTGCAGTACGCTCAGCCACAACCTGGAGAACTCCCAGTTGTAATAAAAGTTAGAGTCCCTCCATAAGTATCCAGTTCCTCGTGTAGTGTAGAGGAGTGTATACTGAGACGGAGACCGCGACTCCTTTTAATTTACAGTGACTCCGAAAGTCCCACCGTGTTTAGTCGTGGCTTTACGGTCTCGCTGTCAAGAGTCTCAGCAGAACAGAAGGCAATACAACTCGAACTGTACCGTACGGGACCCGCCGATTTTACCCGGTCCCACAAACGGTTGCGACAACTGGTCATGATACCGGTTAATTATTTCATTTTTAACTGTTTTTACCCATTTTTCCCGCGTAAATAATTCATTACTCATCAACAAGTGTCCAGTGGTTTTATTTTTTAAAACATTATTATTATTATTATTATTAATATTGTGACTGTGATGGATGCGTAATTGGAGATTAAGATTTATTAAAATGAGTAAGTACTCTCAATATTTCCGGGTTGATTTTATTTTATTTTTTTATCATAATAAAAATTAATTGCTGTTGTTATTATTGGCGAATTTATTGGCGGGCAGTCTAATAAATATAAAAGTTGGCTGTGTAACATTCCTGAATAAGTGCAGGCTTGCAGCGAGGCCGCGATATTCTAAGGGGTGAATGCACCTACGCGAAGATCGTCTTCGGATCGTTTTCACTGTACATCCGACCTTGAGGTTCCATACGAGCAATATAAATCTCAAGAACATTCAACTTGCACTTACGTTTAGCTATTACTATGACGTACCCACTTTTTACAATTTAATTAACCCGAGAATTTTTAAAAATCGGCACTCCGGAGCCGAATTCCTGCCTCGAGTTTTTTTCTCTTGCTAGATATCACATAAATCATCCTCAAGAAGTATATTGATATTTATATAGTAAAAATACGCTCAGAAAATTTTTTTAAACAAATTTTTTATTAAAAAAAAATTTATCAGTTTATTTTTAGTAATTTTTTTTTTTTTTTCAATCACTCTTTATGATTTATTTTATTTGTTAAATTTTTTTAGAGAAAAATTATTAATTTTCTTGATCAATTGTAACTTTTTTTTTTTTTTTTTATAAAAATTCATAAAACATTTATAAATAAAATTCAATTTTTTAAATAATTACTTGCTAAAAGATTTTTCAATAAATTATTTATCAAGTGTTAATAAAAAAATTAACTATATTAAAAAATTTTTCTATAAATATAAAAAAATCTTTTTTGTAAAAATTTATTTCCAAAAAATTTATTTTATATTTTTATCAAAATATTAATTGAAAAATTAAAACGATATAAATCAAAAAGACGTTTTAATTTTAGTCAATTACATATTATTCGGCAGGTGGTGACCTTGAAGGTGGGTTGTTTCGGTTGGGGAACATTCAGAGACCATAGTGATCTGCTTGCCCAGTGTTATAGTTATAGTTAAGTTGACTCGACATAAACTTAGCGTTATGCCTAGCGGACCGTAGCTAGATCCTGTCTAAGATTTCAAGTTAATTTTATTTATATTTTATAATAGTTACAACCGTTTGCTTTTATTTCTTCTTTTTGTCGACGAGTTAAATAAATATATATAATTGCTGAAGAAAAAGAAACATTTGATGGGCTTGAGCAGAAGCCGAACGAAGTATAACTTTTATATAAACTTCGAATTGCTGAAAAAAATCTATATATCGATAGAGGCTTTTTCCAGAAGTGAGTGGGTCAAGGATTTAATGTCAGTAATTATGAATTATTGAAGAAAATTTAATTGAGATATTTGAGGGGAATAGCCGATTGCACTAGACCAGTTCAAGTAAAACCAAACGACCGGAACTCATTTCCGGACTTGCTTCTTGGCATCCGCCCTTCTTCTGCTCCAATAATTGCATCGGCCAATCGCTAATTTTATTCTAACAATCCAATTTTATTTATTTAGATTTCTTCTTTTTAAAGCAGATAAAATTTCTTGCGAAGAAAATTATTTGTTGAAAAAAAAAAAAATTAGTTTAATAATTTTATTTAATTGAGAGATATTATTATTATTACACTGATAGAAGGATTTTTTTGTATTTAAAAAGATTTGTTAATATTTAATAAATGATTTATTAGAGGATAGGTCTTTAACAAATATTTATTAACAGTTAATTTCTAATTATCTTGTAAGTTATTCTTGTACACGGAAAAAAAAAATTGACAAGAGAAAAATTTTTAAACTTGCACTGATAGAAGGATTTTTTATCCTTCTACCAACATCGACCACCAACAAAATATTTGTTAACTATTAACAAATCTTATTTGGTGGAAATAAATACTTTTTTCAATACACAAAAGCTTCTTAATACTTAAAAAAATTTTGTTCTCATAAAAAATTGATTTAGTTAATACTAACGAATATTGTTAATAGTAAAAAAATATTTTTTCCACCCAAAAAAATATCTGAAAAAGATTTTAATAAATTGATTTATTAAATACAAACAAATCCTTTTATCAGTGTATTATTATTGTAACTGTTAAAATGTAAAGTGACATTACATTTAAATCTAAAACATAAGAAGAAAATTTTAAATAAAACTAATTTTAAAGTGTAGAAAATTTTTATCAAATTATAAAAATTAGACTTTGAATTTAAAAAAATTTTTTTAATTCTTAACTTTTAATTTTATTAAAATTTCTTCAACTTCAAAATTTGACTTAGAAAAATTGTTTTTAAAATGAATATAATAATTTTATTTAATTGAAATATATTATCATTATAGTAACTGTTAAAATTTAAAGTGACATTGCATTTAAATTAATAAACAGAATAAGAAAAATAAGAAGAAGTAATAATTGTAAAAACATGTGTTCTTCTGTACGATAACGAAGAATATAATATATATTTTTTAACTATTACTTCTAATAGCAATTAAAACGGGTCGTTACTTCCTCTTCATTGTTTCTTCTTTCTCCCTTTTCTTAATTCTCCCATCGCTCGCTTTCTATTGTGTAATGATTTCTCGTGATCATAATAAAAATAGTGTGCGTTACGTGTGTAACAACCACCTGAGCAAAACGTAATGCTATAGTTACATTCAGATACACTTGTAATTCAATTTGTTGTTTATTTCCAACTCTAAGAAGAATATTTCTCCAATTTTTTTATTTTAAGAATATTTCTTCTTTTTATTTGTCACATGAATAATATATAAATATATTTGATCCACTGTTTACTCAACAAGCGAATTTCTCCCGGCAATTCAACCAGAGAAAAGTGTCACACGACGTTATTGTCACAGATTTAATAATTATTATTATTTCACCGCTACACGTGGGCCTTTCGCGTGTTATTTTCTAAAAATTAAATGTTTACTTTTTTTTTTAAATTGGAGAACAAGATTTGTTTCTAACCTTGTTGTTACGCTTTCGGTACACCACATCAGCCTCTAATTTTCTAATCTGTTACTCACGCACATTAATTTTTGCATTAATCGCCAATTAAAAAGTCAAATTTCTTTTTATTAAACCTTTTTTCTTTTAGATTTATTCTACTTTTATTATTTAGGACACTAATTATTATTTTTTTAATTTATATTTACTTTATTTATAAATTATAATTAATTAAAATTTTTTTAATTAATAAGGAAATTAATTTTTATCGAAAATAAAATTATTAAAAATTTTAAATAATAATAACAATAATAATAATAATAATAATAATAATAATAATAATATAGCTTAAAAATTTGCCAATATTACTATTGTCATTATTAATTTAAAATTTTTAGTAATAATAACAATAATAATAATAATAAATAAATAAAAAAAATAGTATAAGGTATCCTCAATAGCCTAACCTGGTGGCCCAAAAATAAAAATTATCTAAGACCTAATCCCGAAAAGAATGACCTCAACGGTGAATCCTCAACCTCGATCTCCAGTGGAACAGATTCCTCGACGAGAATGTACCTGCCGAAATAAACGGGCTCTCATCAAAAGTCACTCTACACGGGTGTTTACTTTTGCTCGAGACCTTTTATCTGGCTGGTCATCTCTGGTCTCTCTCACCTGAGTCCGGCTCCTCTGTAAGCCCGTATAGTATTCGAGAAACCTGTTCCGATGACATTCCAATCATCTTGTACCTAACCGACGTTGCGGAATTTTTATCCAATACAAAAAATTATGAAACCATTACACCTATCCTCTTATTCATTTATTTACTCATATTACCATCGTACATTTTCATCTAAAATATATTTATCCTCTATTACAATCGTAATCATTATAATTACACCTTATGTATCTTGGATAATATAATAATGTGAATTATAAATTCAAATAATGAAATTTAAAAAGTATGTCGTAATAGGTAGAATCGTTTAGTTCCCTCATCGATAAATCAATCCCGATATAATATGAAGAAAGTAATCGAACGTTATTAAAATGTCTTTGATATTGCGTAATATTGAGAATCATTTTCGTCATACTTATGAAGAATATTTATTTATACATTTGACATTATTACAAACTCGCGACTAATGCTAATGGATAAATTAATTATCATTTATTCCAAGTAAAATGAAATGCCTAGTTAAAATAATTTTTCTTAACTACGACTGACTATTTGTGATTATTTTAAAAATTTAACATTAACAGTTAAGTTGTGCTTGTAATAATAACGAAAGTTATGTTGATTTCCGACATAACAGGGAGATGAAAAAATTTTATTGGTAGAAATTGTGATATTGCGTCAGCTCATGAATTAAATGTAGTGACTAAACTAAACTATGTGACGATTAAAAAGCAAGTACTGCAATTGGAATTGGAATTATGTTTTTTATTTTGCTGTGCGTTTTGTCGGACAAGTAAATATAAGAGTGAATTGAGTCGGTGGTTTAGTTAACTTGATGTAAGTACTGGTAATAGTTTTGCTAGGTCAACCACATACCAAGGGTGCGTGAAATACCAGTCTTTGTAGACACATGTATTGCCAGCTTATAGTTATAATATTATATCAATGAATCCGACCGGATATGTCTCAATATTTTGAAATTTATAATTATTAGTAACTTGGGAAGTCAACTATTTTATCATTTTTTATAGATTATTGTTATTAAAAATTTTTTTTAATTTAAGTAATGAATTAAAAGAAAAAATTTTTATTTTGTAAATTAAAAAAAAATTCTTCAAATAATATTTAAGAAAAAAATCAAGATTGTAGTTATAATGTACTTATAATATTTATAATGTTCAGGATTATTAATAAATTTTTGTTAAATATTCACAAGTGGGGTTAACCATTTTAATTTTCA